GCTTGTACAGTTTCTATTCAAGGCGATGAAGCTGCACGTCGAGTGATATATCGCCGCTGCGCAGCAACGAGGCATCATGCGCATCACCGATGCAACCGCACCAGAGGAGGCAGAGGAAGCACGGCCACCCAGCCAACACACAGGGAGCTTGCTCCCGACATGCTGCGGGGAAAGTCCCCGTGCCTTCGGGCAGAAAGTGTCATTGGGAGACCAAAGGCCAGCATCTGCAGCTTGCAGGGAAGCTTTGTGCCAAGCTGATAGCTCAGGAGCTGGCCACTTGCAGCAGCACAGTCATGCCGTGAGCACCCGATGGAGGGTGCCAACCGAACGGGGCTCATTCTCCCCATGCCTCCTTCCGCTGGGAGCACTTGCATGTTGGATCCAAATCTCAGCTTGTACAGTTTCTATTCAACGCGACGAAACTGCAGGTGAAAGCCGCGCGATACATTGTCGTGACAAGCAGGCTGCAGCCTCCGTTCTTTGGCCGGTTAGCCCAGGCCTCTCCTTGCAGATTCTGGACATGTCGCAGCTGAAAAGATGCACAAGAAGCAGCAGGTTTTTGCTCCACTCGGTGCGGACACAGAAGGAGTACATGGGAGACAGGTTTCGGCGCTGACCATAGACTAGGCCAATGCGCAACGACCTCTCTCTTGCAGTCCTACGTACAAGTTGATGCACTGAAAATGCGCACAAAAGCTATCAGGCAGCTCCAACGTCTTTTGTTTTCTTGCTGATGGCAGGTGCAGAAGGCTTGAAGCTATTGAAAACCGCCGCTAAAGTCCGGTTAGCTTTCGCGGCTGGTAGATCCTGACCATCCCTGACCCTTGACCCTAAATCCAAAACCCTGAACATCTCAACCCTAAACCCCTAAACCCCTAAACCCCTAAACCCTAAACCCCTAAACCCTAAACCCCTAAACCCCTGGATCCCTGGCAGGCAGGCGGCGAGATCCTTGGCAGCCTAGGCCGGCTGATCGGATTACCTTCCTGTTCTCCCTGATTCTTCCCCCCCCCTGTGGGCGTTTCGAAAAGACTGGACCCGTATTAAAAAAGAAAGGCTGATCGCCAGATTGCTGTAACAAAAAGGGCTCCTCAGAATAGGTGTACCCCTTACCGTAGATGGCGGGCTCATAGGGCGCCCTGCTAAATCAGGCGTTGTTTGCTGCTCGCACCCTAAAAAAGTCACCCCTCAAAAACCGAAAAACTTCGAAGAGGCATCCTCGAGGTGCCTTTGGCCCCTTTGCTCTCTCGGCCGGAGTCGGCCCCGAGAGTGCCGGCACTGCGCACCTCTGCCGTCCGAGGCGACAATGCCCCTCGGACTGAGGGATATCAGCTTTTTCGTTCAAGATTTTGAGGGTTTCCGGTGGTTTGGGGTTGCCGAAACGTTTATGGTTCAAGGCGTTGGGGGTAGTTTGGGGTTTGGGGCCTGACAGTGAACTGGAGCCGACAGTGCCCGGTCCAATCCAAGAACCGGCCTGCCTTCTTGCTGCTGTGGCGTCGTCTGACGTTCTTTAGCCAGGAATGTCAAGAATGGGGAGTGTTGACATTTCTGAGTTTGAGCACTGAGTTTTTTTCGCACCTGAGGATTGGTACGGGAGTTCGACCAGCGGCACTCCGCGGAAGGAGCTTGGCTTTCCGCAGCCTGGATGCTCGCTGTGTCCATGCTTGTAAGGGGTGCCGTGCTGTAAATATGCTCCAGGAGGAAGAGGGAGCAAAGAATGCAAATTGGCCTGCAATTAGTAACTATAGTAATTCGCAATGGCTGCAAGCTTGGCCTAAGAGCATGTCACGCCTCGCTGCTGAGGCTGTCCCCCCTGCTTCTGAGAGTTCTGCCGAGGCAACGCCCAACTTTACAGTATGTTCACTTTGAGTTCGCCCTTCAGAGGATCTGCACTTCCCCAGCGGCCACAACTCACCACGCCGGCTTCCAAGAGTTTTGCATCGGACGATTGCAACATCGGGGGATGTATTCATGATTTTTTGCTGACACACCTAGGTGGAGAAGACAAGCCGGATCCAGTGCCCAGGCCCGTTTGCAGAGGGATCTTCAGTCGGCTGCACTGACGTCACATTCCGCGATCCCACCAAAAGGGAAAGTCCGGCAGCTGCGAAGAGCCCCACAGTAGTTCTTGAGTCCATAAGAGTCTTTTTCCTACTGTATTTACTAGTAGTTTCTATAACTATAACAGTACTATTACTACAACAGCACTATAACCATCACTATTACCATTACGTCTACTGATTACTATGGGATCGGGCAACTCACCCAAGAAGCATGACACATCTGCAGAGGCCCATTCATTCCGAGGCCTGGGCCGGCCGTCCTGCTTGAGCCAGATAGAGAGTCTTTTATAGGGGCCTTAGATAGTTAGAATAGGGCTTGGGGGCACTTAAAAAACATAGGGGCCTTGATAATTAGAATAGGGTCTGAGGGCATATTTTGATACAACTGGAATAAGGAACACCGGCAAAAAGTGTTGGTAATTTGTTTCGGCCCCTATATTGGACACAGGGCAGGTTAGATTGGGTTTGATGCTATAGCATGTTGCATGGCCTTCTCTGACAGTTGGGCAGGTAGCCGAAAACACCACGGCGAGCGACGCCGTGCCAGAAATGGAAAGGCTGCCGATCAGGACTCACTTCAAACGCTGGAGCTTTGTAAAGCGCAGCTTTGGGTGTTCGCAGCGCAATCGCACAGAATACAGATTTGTCACAAGCGATAGGGGAGAGTTGATGCAGGGCCCTTCGACAATGCCAAGAAACTGAAGCGGAGCAGGTATGCCCGGATATGCCCCATGAACCTCTGAAGCCCAACAGCCTCATCCATGTCGAAACTCTTGGTCTGTTCATTGTCATGACACCGGCAAGGACTACTGAGCAAGAAGCAGAGGACACTGAGGAGGCTGACTTGGATGTCCGAGCCTTCTCCGAGCAAGAGCGGCCCAGTCTGCTCGGACCGAGCTTTGCGCTCCGAGAGACCAAGGCGATGATCCCTTTCAGTGCCCGTGAGAAGGTGCAGAGGCGCGGCACCGAAAGTTCTTCCAACTCTGCTCCTGCTGGAAGTTGCATCCCCCCAAGTGCGGCATTGAGACTAACTACGCAGGACTAGGATTCTCTGATCTTAGAATCTTGTGCCAGGCAGATCTCGCCTCATCTCCAGGTGGTGGAGCAGCCGCAGGCAATTCAGCCCACGTGAGAACATGCCTGAGCGTGTACAGCCATGCTTGCTTGCATACATCTAGCTCTTTGGTGTATGATGGTACATGGCAACAAGAACGACGAGAGACTCCGATAGACACAACAGTACTACTAGTCATAACCACAGCAATACTATATGACACTCAAAATACCGAGAGTAGTAGTACATACTATACGAATACCAATACCAGTACCTATACTTATGCAATTACGAACACGAATACTAATGCTACTCCTCCTACGATGACGACGACGCCGACGACGACGACTGCTACCAATACTGCTGCTGCTGCTGCTGCTACTGCTCCTCCTACTGCTGGTATTTATACACCCAGTAAGAACAATAAGCATCAGCATAAGAATACGATTAATGTATGTATGTACATATGTGTGTGAATAGGCATATTCAGATTCAGTTTTATTTCTTTTGGCAGAATTGTCTACAATTGCCGTTTGGCATCGGGCAGGTGCCAATTGCTCATGGCAAGGGCAACCAGGCCGATGGAAGCGAGAGCGAAAGCCGCTGAGGGCGAGCTGGGAGTGGTCTACAAACTTGAGAATCCAAGGGAGCCGTTCAGTTTCCATCTAGGTTTTGCACTATGAACCAACACTGCCCCGGTTTGGGCAGTTTTAGGAGGACGCATGTGAGGTTGCAGCTGCACAGTTCGCAAGTGCCCCGACATCTGTGCCAGGACACTGCACATCACGCTAGACTCTAGACTCAGACTGAACTTGCAGCGTTCTACCTCCTCTCTCTCACTATTCCTCCCATCATGCTCCTTTCACGCTTTGGTGCATGAATGCATGAACCCTGGGCAGGCTGCCAGATCGCCTGAGGCCGTGCAGTTTCAGGTTTGTTGGAGGGAGTGGTGTTTTGTTTTGTTTCCACCCCTGCAGGGCGTGAGGTTTGAGGTGAGTGCCGAGTGCACACTGAACCTGACAATTTGACTTGAGCTTCCAACTTCGGGCGTTTGTTGCACAATTCTCCTCCCCCCCCCCTCTCCAGCATTGGGTCCTGCGCACGGACCTAAAGCGGCAAGTCATGCGGTCTTGAGGTTTCAGGAGCCCAGATAACCCGATTCGCGACATGATGATAAAGTCGAAGACGATACGATCTGGGCCGATACGAAGAGTGAGCATGACTGACGGGCAAGCCTCAGGAAGACGTTTTGAGTTGAGACATGATAGAACGAAATGAAGGTAGAATAGAGGAGAGTAGAATGCAACATCGTACTTTTTGGCCCGTTTGGTACAACAGCAAGATGCGGTCTGACACAGCATATTGCGGCACAAGTCGAGTAAAAGCAATACAGTGCACTACTCGTACCATAGCGCATCCTAGATGCAGAGGACGGATGGGCACGGCTGTCTATCATAGACAAGATAAGGAAAGAGAAGGCAAGCCAGGTTAAGCTAGATGAACAAGTGGTGTAGCATAGTAGCACAGCATAGCAGTCGAGGCGAGAGGTGCCTCTTGAGCAAAGTTCTGGAGATACAATGCTACAACTGCTACAATCTACAACACGGGCAAATTCAAAGTTTGAACACAGTCCAAGCTCGTGTCGTGTAACATCTTACAATCTACATCTGTTAAGGATCATGCGAAGACGCAGCCCGGCAAAATATCAATACCCGATCTGTGAGCACGGATCAGGACTCGAGCAGTTCGCTGGGCTTCGCCTCGCCTGAAGTACCACAGGAGGCCAGCGCCCTGCTCTCAGCTGCTAGCTACGCAGATGCCAAGGAGTTCCGAAGGAGTGCTCTTGAGGGAAAAGGGGCCCGCCTAAAGCCGAAACCTCACTGTTCTGAGGCTGGGAGCTTCAGCTTCGGTGATCAAGGCATCCACGTTCGGGTTCGCAAGCTTTGGCTTGCTGATCAAGAGCCGCCGAGCATGCGGCAACTTTAAAGAGTCTGCCGTCCCTATGCCTAGGGAGCCAATCTTGCACGCGCAACCATGGAACCCCCGCGGACGTCTTTCATGCTGCAACGGCCCCTCTCTCCAGACTTGGTGCAGGTCAAAACGGTCTTGGTGTCCTCGGCGAGGCTGGGACGTGAGGGATAAGTATTATCATCATGTTAGCCTAAGAATTAGAGAGCCCCGGAACCTCCAAAAGCGACCAGGGTCCTTAGATTTCCATCCGAGCCCCGAGCCATGACTCGCTTTGATTCCTTTGTCTCAGGCCAGCCCCCTGGATGAAAGGCCAGCCAGAGGCTCCTTTCGGAAGCAAACGGGGCAGGTCTCATGAACTCTTTTGGTTTGAGAACCTTGGCGTCTGAGTAAGGCATAAGACTCAGAGCATAAACTCACCTGCAGGCGATTTCAGCACTGGTGCCTCTTCTACGAGCAAGGTGTCTGTCCAGAACTCGGCAAAGCATCGACGGAATGGTTCTCTCCAGAGCTGGCGAGCGGTTTGAAAAGCCACGCGACTCGACCAAGACCTGCGCACAACTTCGCTTAGGCTCCGGTGCCGGTGGCTGCTGCTGCGGCTACAATTGAGCGACAAGGTGGGGCAAGACAGAACACTCAAGTTTTTTTGTGTTTCTGAGCGGTCTCTGCTGGTGCAGGAGGTGTGCCAGCTGCCAGAAAGACACCGGGAATTCTGCGGGACTTAGGCGCTGCGGTAGACTTCAGAGTTCAGAGTATTGCAAGTACGTGGTACAAGTCCGTGGCGAGCAGCTGTCTCGTGTTTATCCTGTTGATCAAGAGGGCCTCGACAAGGCCTTGATGAGTCCTCCGATGACACGCCAAAGACGGACACCAAGGAGGCAGAGCTTTCCAGTTGATTTTCTGATTGGATGCCCGACCTTCGGATTCGAAGACACCTCAATTCATAAAAGCACTTAAGCTCTTCCCATGAAGCATTGGGAGGCAGCACAGCCGCCATCGACCTCCCCCGCAGCCTCCACCCCGGCTTCGGTGGCGTCGCCTGCTTTTTCCAAGGCCTGCGGTTGTCGGCCGCGACGTTACAATCACATTTCAGTCCTTGCCAGTCGACACAGCCTTGTGACAGCATAGCAAAACCCAAGGCAAAGCCGAAATAGCATCGGGGAGCATCACAGAACCCGGGGACGTTATACCTAGAGACTCCAATATCCCTTAATTCAGGAATATACCTTAAATCATATTAGGGATCCTATTATAATTTAAGGAATATTCCTTAATTAAGGGATATTGGAGTCTCTGGGTACACGCCTTCGGACTGCGGAGCGCCTCCTTCCAGGCCGCTCCCAAGCGCAGCAACCCGCTCGCGCGGGGCAGCGCAGGAGGGGCCCTCGTCCTCTTTGCAGCTTCGGAATGAGATTTGGCAGCCTTCGCCTTCGAAACAGCGCCAAGCGCATCAAACCGCCACAGTTGCCATGAGCATGGCAAGCCGCATCACAGCAAGATCATCATTGAAGTCGTCATCGGGAGTCGTAATCAACACCATCATTCGATCACCACCACTCCACTTTGAAGTATCACACTTGAATACTCTTGCTTGGGTAGTAGCATTTAATTTCCCTTTCCATGATTGGTCATCGTCATCTGCTGGAAAGCGGCAGCGCGAGTCATCATGTCAGGTGGTGCAGGTGCACTTGGTTGCTGGCCGCCAGAGTTTATGTTTCTCGTGGTGACGGTAGACTAAAAGTCACCATGTTGTAGCGGCAGTCCCGGCAGCTGTCATCGTGCAGCAACACGAGCAGTCCTAATAGTAGTCGTTGTCATCGTGGTGGGATGCTCTAGGCGTAGTAGGCCAGGAGGACATGCAGCTTGTAAAGATCTTGTAAACAGGCCCGACAGTCAGTTGAAAACACCAGGACGCGGAAACCTCCTCCAGGCCGGGTCTTCTGCTGTTTGATTGCCAGATTTGAACTATAGGATCCCTGCTTTCGCTCTCAAGCAGGGCTCCGGCTCTGGTGACTTCCTGGGCGGGGGTATGCCAGGCAGGTCGCCAAGAGACGCCCGCAGAGTGCCCCGGTGTTTTGCATCTTCGGCTTCTGCCAGGTCTTGGTCTGCCTGGCAGAGCCCCCGCCTCAAAGCCGTTTGCACATCGAGAAGATCCCAAACCTTGGGTAGTCCGTGGAGCTCCAAGGATGCCGGCTCTGGCGACGGGAGCTTAGTGCAGACATCGGGCTGCCTTCGATGCATGAGATGTCGTCACTTCCGGCCTAGGCCTTGTCGTCATTGGCAGCCCTGCGCCCGAAGTCCAAAGCGAGGCAGAGCAACTGTTCCAGGGAACCATGTGCAGGGTTCATTGGTTTTCGGAAATCCATCTGCCCTCTCGCATCACCAGCCTCACAAGATGCCTGCGAGACCGTGGCGATTGGTTAATGTGGCTAGGGACAAGGGGCAGTAGGGTGCAGAAGGGGGAGGTGGTAGGGCAGGGGGAGGGCAGTCGTGCTTCTTGGTGCGTAGTTTGGTGGAAGAATCAGGGTTTCGTGGTTCGCGAAGCAGCGTTGGCATTGAACGCAATCGTTTGAAAACGAGGGAGGAAAACGAAGGATCCCCATTGCAAGCACTCCTGGAAAGGTTACCCCGAATTGCCCGAAGCCCGCCCACACAAGCACATGGGTAGTTCTCTAACTTAGGGTCCCTTTCTAGATCCACAGGATAGCACGGCACCCTTTAAGCAATGGACCCCCAGAAGGGACCCGAATTTAGAGAAACTACCCACATGAAAAGGCCGAAGATCGGCTCGCTGCCCGGCGGTCCCATCGACTGGAGCCAAAGGGAGGACTTCAGATGAGTCGGGCGAGACGAGAATCGACTTTAAGTCGGTGCTATACAACATCCAGTCAATGAAGCAGAGAAGCCTTTGAAGAAGGGCTTAGATTGAAGGGTAAATGCGATCTATCTATGGCATGCAAACGTCGGCATCCGGCGGCAGAGCTTATTACACTGCACCGAGGTTTATGCTCTCCGTTGTGTAGGAAGTGCAGCTGCGGAACAAAGCCAATGGGGATCGGCCAAGCTGCCAGTAGGCTGTTTCGGAAAAATTCAGAATTGACCTCCGGGTCCGTGCGATGTCACACGACCCCTGTCGATCGCTTGGAATCCAAAAACCCGGAGCAGCACATTGCAGGCATGGACAGGCTGTGGCACCTACCTGTTCTCGCAGGCCCTTGAAACTTAACCCATAGCAGATCTTGAAGCCATGCATTGCTCTGATTTGCACAGTGCTAAGTTGAACCGAGTCCGCCTCCTCAAAACTGTATAGCTCTCTCTCTTAAGAAGTGCACGATTCGTAGGGGGTTTTAGAAATTGTATAGGGTTTGGGTCCCAGGTTTTGAGCGAAAATTTTGACAAAGTTTTGACCGAAAGCCTTGAGCGGGTTTTGTCTTTTGCTTTTCAATGTTGGTTTTGGCAGGGCTCCTCTACCGCCTGGCAAACCACATGGAGCAACCTTGGCGGTCGAAGGCCCGAGCCCGACTCCGACGAGTGCTCACATTTCGCAACGCTACAGTGCCCAAGTACAACCTGCCGCTCAAGATCCCCTTCCTAGCTCACACTGACTTCAAGAACAACGCGCAGAAGTGGGTATCCAAGCTTATTCGGCAGCATCGACACGTTCTTATTCCCTACCACCTCCCGACCAAAACCATACAGGAGCTACCGCACCCCGCTCTCAACAAAGTCCTATGGAACCACATGCGCAAGGTCACAGCACAAGGGCGACATTGGGAACCCGAGCCGTGCAAATGCCACGAGTTCCTGCTCGACCACCCTCGAGCCGAACAACATGAAGGACACGTTGCCACTGGCCTGGAAACGCTTGACTTTTGCAAAGGCCAGTCCAACCTCGGCGCAGCCTTCACCAACGTCGGCGCCTGCAATGCCTTCTTTCCATCCAAACGACGGCTACACGACCAAATTCTCGATCAACTCCGAGGGTGGCTTAAGCATCACTTATTCCCCAACGACGACCGCATCCTTGAGAACTTCGAGACATTCTTTGAGGAGCAGTGGCAGCACCATAAAGAACAGCAACGACACGAACCTCGACTCACACACAAACTCATCAAGCACCTGATGTCCGCCCTACCAGACAACTACATCATCCACAACGAGGACCACGCCAACGCCCACCTCATGATATACTGCCCCAACGTCTGCAATCAGGCAGCGCTCAACACCTGGATGGACAAGAAAACATTTCTCCTCCTGGACAAGAGCCCCGAGGACATCAAAGAGGACATGGAAAGGCAAACACCACCAGTCGTTCGGAAACACTACAAAAAACTCCTCGACTACAACAAGCCTATACCACATGGATACATTATGATGAAGCGCAAAAAGCAGTGGAGCAAGGGCCGCACGATCATCGCCTACTCCAACACATGTGTCGGGAGGCTCCTCAGAGTTGCAGCGTTGGCACTGCAGCAGATGCTCAAAGCCACGTGGCCTCACTACTTCGGGAACATCGCAACGCCTCAACTGTGGCAAGAAGTCCATGAGCTACTTCAAGCCAACGAAGAGCAGCCGGGGCGAGAACTTATATTCCTCAATCACGACCTCGTGGGTTTCTTCAACAGCATTCCCCAGGCAGACATCATCCAAAGCGTGCGCTATCTCATCGCCGAGTTCTCCAAAAACAACAACGACATCCTCCTAATCGACCCCTACAGCAAACTTAACCCCGTACACTCAGGCAAATCCACTCGCCACTCACAGCATCAAATCCAACATG